ATAAAATGAGAGGTAATATATTAAAATGAAAGTATGAAGGAAAGAAATGAATTAGAGTGTAAGACACGAGGTAAAAGAAATAAGTTAAAGGGGAAATGATTAAGTTAGAATGAGAAGTAGGAAAAGAATAATGAATTAGAGAGAGAGAGAGATAATTAGATGAAAGTTGTGTTATGTGTTAAGTAGGGGGTATAAATAGATTGTAAATTAGAGGGAAAAAAATTGGCATAAATTTTGTTGCTACACGACTTAGTACTTGGACTCCCAAAAGATTAAGTCTAAAAGTTAATTATTTATAAAATTATTTACAAAGTTTTGGAGTCGCACCTAGTATTTAAGGAACTAGGAACCTAAAAGTAGCATTGGTTCGGAGATTCCTAAGGTAAGGAGTTGGTTACACTTTTAGGAAGATATTTGATTGTCTAAAAGTGCCCTTTTAAAAAAAGATACCATGTATGGTTTAGTTTTAAAATCATCTCCTAAAAATCCATGTCAAAATATTTTCTAATTTTAGACTCCTATTTTTTTTTTTAAGACAAATTAAATTTTTTTAGTTTTAGGCGTGGCATCATATTGAAACAATCGTTAGTCCCCTTCGTTGGGTGACACGTCGATTCAAACATTGGATCCACTAAAAGCCTTAACACAACTGGTGTGTCGAAGGACATCTTAATTAAAAGGTGATTTTTGATGATATCAGTCCCTATCAAATAGGAGACTTCGTCGAACATTTTGAATATTCTTTTTAATCACGTCGATCCCTATTAGATAGGAGACTTCATCGAATTTATTTATTTATTATATTTTTTTTGGTGGTGTCGGTCCCTACCATGTAGGAGGCTTTGTCAAAATTTTTAGGTAATTTTTTTTGAGTGACGTCGGTCCCTATAAGATAGGAGACTTTGTCAAGATTTTTATAATTTTTTTTCTAACAATACATATTAAAAAAAAAAATTCAAGTAACAATTCTAAATTAATATAAAAAAAACGACAAGGAATAAAAATAAACAGGCTAAAAAAATAAAATAAATAAAAGTAAAAAAATAAAAAATACGATAGAAAGAAATCATCCTATACCTAAACTATTAACCCACAACTTATTTTTCTACCCATCCCTTTTTCCTTTTTCTTTCTTATTTTTTATTTTTTCTTCCCTAATTCTATTTTTTTATTTTCTTTATTACCCCTTTTATTTTTATTTTTCTTTTTTTTAAGGAAGGCTGGAATGGAACCAACCTTCTCGTTTTATTTTTTGGGTTTTTGAAGGGTGGGCTATGGGTCGGATCGATAATAGTCCAACCTTTCCCCCTTTTCTTTTTTTTTTTTTTTTTTTGTGCAAACGAGATGGCACTGGATCGATTTCAGTCCTAGCCTTTGCTTCCCCCCCTTTTTACCCGACCCGAAAACAAATCCCACTCTTCCTCTTTTCATTTTTTCGAGATCAAAATCACGCTTTTCAGCCTTCAACCCTTTCTCTCTCCCGTTCTTTGGGTTCTTATCTTCTTCTCTCTATTTTCCAATTTTCTTCAAAAAATTAAAACCCCATTTCGGAAAAAATAATTGCTAACATATGTTATTTACACTCTTGTTTCACTCACAAACCAAGAATTAAAACTTAAACTAACAAAAAATTTAGGAATTGCAAATCATTGAATCCACGTGCAAAAATAAAAAAAACGAAAACAAAGAAAAAAAACCTTAGATTTGTGATTCGTCGTTCGAAAGGATGCAAATTGAAACTCAAAAATGGTTTCAAGAGACTCAAAAAGGCACTTATTGCTTTCGATATGCTCGAATGAGATTCAAAACAAAGAATTAGATCCAACGAGTTGAAGCCGAATGAAACTCCTCCTAGAAGATTGAAGAACACGAACCTAGGCACATGAAGAAATTCAAGTGGTCGCCTAGAACTTCAAAAGGGGAAACCTAAAATAATGAAGAACGGGGTCCCAAATTCAGGAAATTGGATTAAGAAACACTCAAGGATAGAAAATCAACCCCGAAAAGAACACCAAAAAGGATTAAAGGAGACCGACGGACGATGAACTAAGACCTGAAACCTAAGAACACCAAGAACACCAACCTGCGAAAACGTAGTGACTAAAAATGAACAAATCAAGCCTTTTGCTTTCAATTTTCACTCCCTCTCAACTCAGAATTCTTCCTCTAATTTTTTTTCTCTTCTCTCGTGAAATTAGACCCGTTTTATAGCTAAAACCTTCCTAGAATTGAATCTAAATTTTGAATTTTTCTATCAAAATATTTCCTCTTTAATTCATTATTAATGCAAAATCAAAACAAGAAATTTGGTCATTGCTTGATTCTTTGCTATTAATTTCGTCCAAGAATCATGATAAATGCAAAATCAAAACAGAAATTTGTGAAGGATTTGGGCGGATTCTCCCAAAGATTTTCGGAGAGAATTCCCATTGGAGTGGACGACGAGTCATCCTCTCCATTGCAGTCTTGTCATTCGCTCCAAACTTTCGGTTTGGTCCTCGTGCATTTCAATTCTAGCAATCACGCCCTTCTATGGTACAATTTCAGTCTTTATAAAGTGCAATCTTATCAATTGGATCTCTGTAAAAAGCAATTTAAGTTCTAAATTTTTCAACTGGTTTAATTACACTTCTAATTACTTCAATTATATTTTTCTTTAAATACAATTGTGCCCTTGAATGAATGTTTTTGTGTTTTTTATCATTCTTTTTATTTTTTTCGGTAAACTTCAATTGAAGTAAAACAAAACATACATGAAATAAAAAAATAAAAATAAATAATAAAATGAAATAAAAATAAAAATAAGGTAAATTTAGGTTATTACAAATTTAAAAATATATTAGGGAAATTGGGGTTAAAATTTTTAAAATTTTGGATATTTGTGCTCGCTTTATTACAGATTTGTTATTGAAATTTTTGTGACCACAAAATTAAGTCACAAATCTATTATGAAAAAGAAAATAAAAAATTTATAAAACAAATGCAACCAAGTTTCTGACCGCGTGATTTGTAATGGCATATGCATCACAACTTCGGTCACAAAAAGTGAAAAAAAAAATTGAAAATGTGATTAAAATATATTCTATCACAAATTTGCGATTGCAAATTTCAGTCACAGTTGGATCAATTTTCACTAGTGAATTAATGTACGTATGTTTAAAAATTCCTAGTATTAATGATCTCAAAAGATCCAGACAGTATTGGCACCATCAAATTCAACTTTGTTGGAAGAGATTTGGCAAATGATTAACCTTAAACTAATTAAAAGATCGATTAAGCTACTGAGTTATAAGTCTCTCCTTAGATATAAATATCTTTTTTATTTTTTTCCCCTTCTCTTAACTGATTGATTGATTTCATGCACACACATATATTAACTAACTCCAATTTCATTTACAAAACAACAACAACAATAAACCAACTCTAATTTTTGACATATAAAAATAAAATGAAAAGGACCAACTCTAATTTTTGGCTTATAAAAAGAAAATGAAAAGGATTACCTTTTATTGTCCAATTAGCCAGCATTATAGTCGGGGAAGAACCAAAAAAGGCAAAATACACCTACCCATGTATTATATCGAAAATATTATTACAATCCCTTCATTCAGATATAGTTCATAGCAATTTTATACTATTAGAAATTAGTACAAACAATTCATCTCGTTAACTTTTTCTGTTACATTGACCAATTTCTATTAATTAATTAACATTTGACCAATCAAATGGTGACATGTGTCTACATAAGGGTAAAAATGTAATTTTATTTTAAATAATTTTTTATATTTTATTTTTTTAAAGTTAAAATAATTAATAATTATTAAAAATTGAAAAAAACATTCTACACAAAATTTTTTAAAATAATCAAATTTTCTCACTTTTTAATGATTTTATAATAATAATTATTAAAGAAAATTAAAAAATATATATGTGAATAATGTTTTTCAATTTTTAATTATTTTATAATAATTATTAATAATTGTTTTTCCAATTTTAAATATTTATAATAATTATTAAAAATAAAATTTTTAAAAAATATAAAGGAAATTTTTAAAAATTTTAATAAAAAAGTTTTCTTTATTAATAGTTATTATAAAATCATTAAAATTTGAAAAAAAAATATTTTTTTTTAGATTTTCTTAAAAAATTTATGTAATATTAATTATTATAAATTAAAAAATTCTGATTATTTTAAAAATTTTCTTCAGATTTTTTTTATATTTTTTAATGATTTTATAATAGTTATTAATTATTTTAAATTAAAAAAATTAAAAAAACTATTTTTTAAAATTATATTTTTATCTTTAAGTTGATATGTGTCACCACTTGATTAGTCAGATACTAATTAATTAATTAAATTAGTTAATTTAACGAAACAAGTTAATAAATGAGCTATTTTGTATTAATGTTTAATAATATAAAATTTGTTATGAATTATATTTGAATAGAGATATTACAATAATATTTTTGATATAATGCTACGACACAAGATGTATTTGACCCAAGAAAAAAAAGGTTTAATTATGATATTAGTGTCTGATCCCTTAAATATTTTCCGTACACCAAAAAATTATTATAATTTGATAAAGTTTATTAAAGGCCTAAAAATAGATGAAAGAAAAAGTAGGACAAGATATCATATTGAAGTGGACCAAAGGGTCTCATCGATAAGGAAGTTTTGTCCAACAAAATCTAGTGGCTCCTTTGGTGGGACCCTTGTAAGATTTGCTTGAACATTTTCATCATCTCTCTATATAACGCCTCCCAGTTCTCCCTTCAAGCCCCCCTCCTCTCTTCTCATTCAATTTTTTCTTGTAAAATATTTGTTTTTCTTAACCCTAATTTTGTATTTTGAAGAATTTTTAATCTCTTAACTTGCCATTTAATTTTGATTTTGTTTAGCTTTTAGCCTAAATATTGTATCATTGTTATAGTATATAAAATTGATTAGTTGTAAAAACTGATCAGTAGGCTGTCAACTTTTTTGTACCCATTGAGCAATGAAGGAGAGTGGTCGAAAACATGGTGCACTTTCGCCATGCGCAGCATGCAAACTTCTTAGGAGGAGATGTGCTCAAGACTGTGTGTTTGCTCCTTATTTTCCAGCTGATGAGCCTCAGAAGTTTGCCAGTGTGCATAAGGTCTTCGGTGCTAGCAATGTCAACAAAATGTTACAGGTTCATATCCTTGCACCTGATCTCTTTCTCTATATGTGTATTTTTGTATTATACATAAATTTATATATAACTTTCAAACTCTTTTCAGAAAATTCTCTTCTTTTTTTTTTCTTTTTTTTTCCATTCTAATCAAGTGGCCAAATTATCTTAATCATCTTTCATATATATATATATATGAAATCAATTATCTGTGTTTATTTGGGATCGATAAAGCATTCAGCAAAAAGTAAAAAAGTCATCTTCCCCGTATATTTTTCACCTTTAGTTCGGTTATAGTGGTTAGTTTCAGTTGGATAGAGACCCCACTATTACAAAGAGGATTCGAATTCTAAATATATATATATATTCCAAAGTAGGGAGGCACTGTTTTACCATTTGATTCCTTAATTAGTACATAAAAGAGAATAAAGGGATCACAATTTAGCTTTACTTGTCGATATATATGTGAAATAAAATAGCGAGAGGATAAAGGAGGAATATTAATGCGGGATTAATTGATTAAAGTGAAGGAAGGGCTTAACGTCCCCTTTATGACTGACAAGTAATTAACTTTTTGGAGAAGTAATTAAGGCTAAGCTTTTGTTTTTGGAATTCTTAATGTCATTTGCATCTAATTTTTTTTTTTTAAAAAAAAAAGAAAAGAAAAGAAAAGAAAAGGTTGTTTATCTATCTTTCCTTCTATCTAACTGTGTTTGCATTGTGCTTTAAAGACATAAAAGTTACGTTGATAGAGCGATCACAAATAAGTCCAAAAAACAGGTTGTTCTTTCTACGCAAATTAAATAAAAGTTTGAAACTTTATTATATGAGAAGTAATTAAATATATTTTGTAATCATGACATCAACATGGCATCAACGGACGCAAGTATATTATTTTAGAGCAAACTATAACTTAGTCCTTCTACTTTTAAGAAACTAACAAGCTAGTTTCTCTAGTTGAAAAGTCGTCTATGTTTTCATATATATAATTCAGTAATTGAGTCCTTTCATGGTTATCTATTGTTTAGATATTCTTGAGCTATCACTTTGGATATTACCTTAATTAAAAAAGTGTTTGATTTGTTAATAGTTGAGGGTCAAAGCTAATCACTTAACAATCTAGATATAACCGTGTAATTTTGAGAACTAAAGGTAACAACATACAAGTTTTCAAGCACACTAGAACTAAATTACAATAACCTAATCATTTTTTATTTTTAATAATTATTTAATTCAATTAAGAAGTGCATGGATCAAAATTTTAGAAGCTAATTTCACAAATCAAAATAATAATAAAAGATACGTATGTACAGGTAAAATAATATATAGTGGAACGAAATACAACAATATATATTATTTCAATAACTACTTGTGTACGCTAAATTAATAGAGAGTATGAGTGATTTGGAAAAATGAAGGCATGCCATTAAATTAATACTGTCAAATATATCCAATGCCCCAGTCCAGCACGCTAGCAGGAAAGATCGATCATTACATTACTACATGCATGTATCAAAGAAAATAATACCCATGATTAGGTTAAAAAATTAATATTTCAAGCTTTCTTGATGTTTACTCAAGTAAGTTTCATTGCACAAACCGAATTATGCACATGTCATGAACAAAATATAGGTGATTTTTTTTTTTTTTGGTCAAAAGTCTATTTTCCATATTTAGATTTATCTAGCTAGCTATAAGAAAACAAGTTTTCTACTTATAAGTGCTCTTTTGACCAAGTAGGATTGATTTTATTATACTATTGGATTCTTAGGTCGATGTCTTTACAAACTACTACTATATATAGCATGAAGTTAAAGGAATATTCCTTGCCCCATTTACCATAATATTTTTTATTTCATGACATTTCAATTGAGTTATATAGAGGCAACCGAGTGTTGATTGGGAGTCCCATCGATCCCTTCTCTTCATTGATCAGTTATATATAGGCATCTTACAAGTTAGTTTTGGATGGGAATTTATCAATTAATTTCATATATACGAGATATATCGAGAGTATTTATATATAATAACGTCATATAAGCTTATAATTAAACCAACAAATTAACAATATCTACTTGTAATCCATTTTAATGTTTCTTTTTCTGTTCATTAAGAGGGTGTATATATATATGCATGGGATCTTGAATTACATAATTAATTTTCTTTTAATTTCTATATATGTAGGTTGCTTATTATGATAATGTCGGGCGACTTTTTCATGATTTAAACATTCAGCATGCTTTGCAAAATTTTCTGCTTCCCAAGTAAAAACATCCTGTTCTTAGGAATCAATTCGTACGTCAATTTTGTGGGAATATTACTCTGTATTTAATTAAATCATGAAATGTACGCTTCACGCATGAAGTACGAAAGTGGACCTTCAGCTTTGTGATGACCACGATAAGTACTTAAGTAGAAACATATTAAACTTAATGAGTAATTTTACCTTTCCAAAAGCTACAAATTAATGGATTAGGCTTATAATTTGTTCAAAAATTTGCAGGAATTACCTGAGCACCAACGAAGCGATGCAGTGAGTTCCATGGTGTATGAAGCAAATGCAAGGGTTCGTGACCCAGTTTATGGTTGTGTTGGAGCCATATCATCTTTGCAGCAACAAATTGACTCTCTACAAACTCAGTTGGCACTTGCACAAGCCGAGGTGGTGCACATGAGAATGCGGCAATTCACATCTTCTACCAATCCAGGAGGCATGGACATGACAGTTGATCAGGCCAATATGGGGGAGTCTTTGTGGTCATGCTAGCTTTTATCTAGCATGCATGCATGCCTGCCTTCCCTTTATTGTTATATACTTATGGACTATCATGGGCTAGCTTGCTTTATTGCCTACCTCTATCATGGTCTCTTTTTCTTTTTTCTCCCTTACATCTTTTATATATAGCACATCTCTAGCTACCTCTACTTGACCAAGGGATGTTGGTGATAATGATCATTAACCATATTGTAAATATTTCTGAACATATAATCATGAGTAACCATATATGTTAGTACTAGTGTAGTTGTATCTTTTACAGCAATCTTTTTTGTTCTTTTACCTTATGTCTACTAATTAAAAAGGAGATTATTGAGGATTTCGTGGTTCTTGGCAATCTTATAAGTGGTGATAAGTGGGGCAATCTCATAAATCCATATATTGTGATTGAAATTTTAGTGTGGGTGTATATATATATATATATCATAGAGATTCAGTCATAATTAATTCAATCTTGAAAATTTATTATGTGTATTAATTATCTTAGAAATTATGTTTCTCTCTCATGCAAATATATATAGGTTTTACCACAGATAAAAATTATTTATAAAATAAAGAAGTAAATGCATGCAGTTTTCAGGATATTAATTAAATAGTAATATATATTTTTGTATCAATAATGTTGATGCAAGAGTAGTCAACAAGCTAGGTTACAGATGGAGCAAAGATGGATCGGCAGTCAAAAGACAATGATCTTGCATGGCCTTGATATCATAGCAAATGGTAAAGATCGAAATTGTCCTTTCATTGGTTATAACCTGCAGGATAGATATTGATTCATATATAGATGCATGGGAATTATTTAATTACTTAATTTCAACGAACAAGGCAGGCAATGAAATGTAATTTAACTTTCAAGTTATTTAAATTAATAATGTCTTGTGTAAGATTGTAGTGCTGGCTGTTTTCTATTATTTTCACTCTTATCTATGTGATATCTCTTTTGCTTTTATATTTTACTATCTTTTGGAATATTTCTCCTTCCTGCGAAATGTTTGCTTTTTTACTTACTTTTGAATTGAAAATTGAGAAGTACTATATATTTGATGCAAAATTGTTGAGAAATCAAATAATAAACACATCCTCTTTATCCTTTTGATTAGTGATAGAAATAAATAAATAAATAAACACATCCTCAGATTCAATCCTATTATTATAACTTTGGGCCTTTGGCAGGATTGAACTGGATCGTCGAAATTGGAGTTGGATGCAAAATGAGCTATTTCCATGCTCTCCTATTCTGCCATCCAGTTGGTTGGGATTTTAGGAGATGGGAAACAATTAAAAATGCTTTTAAAATTTTATGACCATATATATTCTGTTGCTTTTTCGACAACGTAAAACTTGTTTTCATTGACAAGGTCTAGTCTTTAGAAGTCGGTGGCTCAATCAGCAGTCTACTACAAAATCCAAGAGACAAACTCATGTGTGTGTATATATAATAATAATAATAATAATAATAAAGCATCTCGGCCCAAATAGAACCTAAAACACAAATAAAACTATCCGAAAGTCCAGCCCATGAATTCGACAAGCAAACAAAAACATTGCCCCCGTATTTCTTCTATCTCGAGCTTACTTCAAACTTTTTTTTTTCCTTCCCTTCTCCTTTCTTTTGAATTTTATGATTCTTAATCACTAGGATTAGGCTTACACCGATCATTGAAATGATAAGTATCCATTGGTTTTTGTCATAACCCAATTTTGGGTTCCCTTAAAAAATAATAATTAAAAAAAATAAAAAAAGAGGAAAAAATATTAAAAAAATATTAAATCTTCCTAAAATCATTTAAAAATCTGTTGAAATCTTCTACAAATCTTTATTGAATTGGAATCTCCTTATTTCTAGCTAATCAAATCTCAAAATTAAGATTTGACAATTAAAATTTGAATTTGAATTGATTTTGAGAGAGATTTTAGGAGGTTTCGACCTATAAAAAGCTATTGGATTCCAATTTGCATGGGGGAACGACCAAAAAAAAAAAAAAAAGAAAGAAAGGCAACTAGAGAGCCAAAAAAAAACAAAAAAAAAAAACACACAAAAAATATATACCGAAAACCGAAAAATAAATTACCAAACACGCCCAAACCCAATATCCAAACCCGATTACCCATTCACCCGATCGAAATTTTCACTCTCAATCCGACCATTTTTCGATCGGTTTTGACCCCAACCATCACAGCCACGTATAGCCCATCATGAGATCGGTCCATCAACACCGGTTAGAGAGAGAAACAATCACGGAGGAGAGAGAAATCGAAGATCAAAGGTCCATGACCCGACCCAAAACAATACTCGATCGTTTCTCTCAAATCCGGTCACTAACACACGATCTACCACCACGGACCTAATTGCCCATCTCCCCTAAGTGTTTGCATTCAACAATCGCCACCCAATAACATCGAAAAACGATTAAATTGAAAAAGATTCGTTTGCGATCCGTTTTGGTAAACCCGAAACAATTGGCCGATAGGTCCTAACCACCACAAAACTTCTTCTCTCGACCTTGCGAGTCGATCGATGTGCTTGAAATCCCGATACGAGGTCGGATTCATAGTCGATAAAGAAAGAAGATCCGACCGGATCTTCTTTCTTCTTTGGAGGCTCCGATCTCCCTCCTCCGGCGTTGTCTCCGGTTGAAACCACCACCATTGGAGTCGCCATGATCGGATCTACAAGGCTAGGTGGTCCATGCGCCCGAACGGCCATCGAAAGGCGAACGGTCACTTGGCCGTGACTCTTAGCATTCTAGGGGCATTTTTGTAATTTTACAATATAGGTGAATTTTGGACTCGTTTGATTTATTTTATGTGTTTTGTAGCTTTTGTATTTTAACATTAGAAAATTTGAAGATACATAGTTGTGGAATTTATTTTAACATGAGATTTTTTTTATGACTAAAATATTAAATCAACAAGTCTCCTATTTATTAGGGACGGACAATGATTTCGATATATTTAATTTTTTAAAAATTTTTTTAGTTGATTTTAGTTAATTAAAATTTAAAATTTTTTTTTAAAAATAAAAAATATATTTTTTCGACGAAATCTCTTATCCGATAGGGACTAACGTCACCAAAAAGAACATCTAATTTTTATTTTTTTTGACGAAGTCTCCTATCCGATAGGGACCGACATCACCAAAATTCATTTGTTTAATCAAAATGTCCTCCGACATATCGATTGTGTCAAGGCTTAAAGTGGATCCGATGTTTGAATCGACGTGTCGCCTAATGAATGGGACCAACGATCGTTTCAATACGATGCTACCCCCAAAACTAAAAAATTCAATTTGTCTAAAAAAAATAAGAGTTTAAAAATCAAAAAATAATTTGACATAAATAAAATATTTTAGGACATTAATTTAGAGCTAAACCGGACGTGGTACCTTTCTTTGGAAAGAGTACTTTTGGGTGATCGATATCTTCCCAAAAACGTAACCAACTCCTTACCATAGAATCTACGAACCGATTGTCCGTTTTAGGTTCCTAGTTCCGTCAATACTAGGTGGCGACTCCAAACTCGTAAATAAACTTGTAAATACTAAATCTAATTTTAGTTATTTTTGGGGAGTCCCGTCCGACGTCGGGTAGCGACGAGAATGATGACTCGCACTAGGGATTAGATTTAGGCCATAGGTTTAGTTTTTTAATTTATCTCCTATATTTATTATTATTATTATTATTATTATTATTATTATTATTATGTCATTTTATTTTTTGAATTCATTTTTTTGTATATATTTACATTCTTGTAATTTATTTTTCGCATTCTATTTTCTCATGGCATGTTCCTTTTTTGAATCGGCTTGCATATTTTTGTTTATTCTATTGCACACACCACGAAGGAAACCTATAAAAGCTGCGGACCCGAGCTAAACCACGATAGGACTTAGATAGAGGGATCCGAAGACGAGTATGATGAAAGTCTACCGATGCTCTTCCGGACTCTCGTTTGGACCGAAACTCACCCTATATATCGAAATGGTGGAATAACCTTCCCTACATCTAGTGTATAAGGTTAGAGGTTGGATTATCCCACTTGGTAATTTAGACGAGTCTAAAAACTTGAAAGATCTTTAGAACTAGTCAAGCTTTGCTCAACCATAGAAAAGCTAGATCTTATCTATTAGAGTTGACCCAATTAAGACACGAATCATTTTCAAATGATGTCAATACCGACCTTTGATATTCCAAGGGTATTTTTATAATTTTTAGTAAAGTTTATCTTTTGTATTAAATCATGATCGAAGAAGTCGAATTAAGGTCAAGGATTTTAGATCGGATTTAAGCGGGCTCGAAATGATGAAGGAGATTGTCCGGCTTTAAATTTCATATCGAGACTGCGAAAAAAAAAAGTTTCTCCCTTCATGTACTTATAATAAAAATGGTTTCATCATTCCAAAATCAAGTCACGACTGAAATTGGGGGCATACATATCTCCCTAATCGCCCAAGTATCCGTAGGATATTTTGCCTTCAGCAAGTACTAGCTTGGTCTAACCCATCCTAGACGAGGATTATGTCATGATTTAATGTGCAACAAAATAAAGAAGGGTATCCAACCCAGTTCAAAATCATGCATTTGCATTAAGTATTTATTTATATATATTTCTTTTGCATTTTTAGTGAAGTAAACATAGGTCGCTCCACTCAATCCCCTCCGCGCATCTACAACACTCGACTTTGGACTCGTCAAATGGAAAGTGAAAAAAAACCACGACGAGGAGGCAATAAATCAACAAGAGTTTGACTCGCTGAAAGAGAATGTGGCTCGGATGACATCCCTCTTAGAATAAGCCTTAAGAGGGAAAAGTGGCTTGAATCAAGGACGGAAATAACCCGAAGTACCTCATGTTGTTCCATTGCCTAATCGGTTAGGGAATTCCAATCAAGCAACTTTTCGAGTCGATGACTTATATCCTACTAGGGCATTTGCTTATCCCATAGACCCACAAGTCCCGCAAATGCCACATATGCCCCCTATAGATCA